ATGCTTCTATCCCCATCCTATCCTCCATCATGATGGCGGGTGGGGCTGGGTCAAACCTGAATGATGCTGCAACCCCACACACTAGGTTGCAATGCCACTCAGGTGTCCGTCCCCCCCGCCCTCCCTTTTCCAGTTTCCATCATGCACAGGGACCCAGAATTCCTTATTCTGGCACTGGCAGCAGGGGAGAATTTGTCCCATCCTGTGAAACTCCTTATAACTAAACCAAAGCATGTTTTGTTACACACACACACACACCCTCCCCAGTCAGGCCAGATTCACCAGGGCTTCCCACCAAAACCTAGCTGGCAAGTTCCCTTTTCATGTAAGCGACACAAGAGAGTTACTTAATGGAATGTCTCTGGGCCACTTGCACCTGAGCAAAGCACAAAGGAGGAGGCATCAAAGCCATAAATAGATACACATTAGAAACTCTCTAAACAGCCCCACATTTTGCATAGTTGATGACTTTCCATAATAGATATGGATGATAAACAGCTTTAAATCAACTAAAAATTTATCAGTGTCACTCCATTTATCACCATTATGTTAAACTGAAAGGTATGGAAAGAAAACTGTGCGTTCAGTTGAAAAGCTCTGTGCAAATGTGATGAAAGAAGAATAAACTCAATGGGCCAAATCCTACTCTCATTTATACCTCAGCAACATCGCTAATGGGGATTTATAATGGAAGTGCTGACAGTGAAGAATTAGATATGGATTAAATAAAAAAAATTATTTGTAATATTCGGTGCACAAACTTTGTGGGCTCAGTACATGGGTAACAGAGTGAAAGTTAATAGCCTGTTATATGCAGGTCTGACAAGATGATCTAATGATCCCTTCTGGCCTTAAACTCTGAGATGCTGTTGTCTATGGGCTTGCCTTCACTTCACTGTAAGTTTGTGAGGTAAACTCAAGTGCTGCCCCCCACCCAACTGCCAGGAACACACAAAAGTCTCTAGTTCAGGTTAAGTGGTCCTTAAAACTCAGGCTCAATGGCCCATCGGTGGGTGGGGGTTGACACCAGAGTGCTGCTGATGCTCGAGCTAAGAATGTAGCCCAGGACACTCGGCCTGTCTGCACTGCTAATAAATATGCTCCATGCAGCCTGTTGATTTGCAGTGTGGTTCCTGTTAACTCGAGTGTCCATGACACACGCTAACACTGAGATGAAGACAAGCCCTAAAACAAGCAGAGTCAGAGCAACAAATCCAAACCACCTGAGCTTGGAACGTTCCGGTTCCAATGGGATCCAAATGTTGTCATTCGGATCCCTCTCTGAAAGGAACCTTGCTTGTAACGAGTTCTGCTCCATGGCTGATAAGGGAGAATTTGAATATAGAGTGAAGGGGAGGAGCGGATAATTGGAGCCAAAATTTAGGGCTCCCTGTCAACAAACTCCCCCCTTCATTCTCTATTCAACACTAGTTCAGGGGCACCTTATGGTGCTGATCACCAGTGTCAACAATGTGTCAGTTTTCTAAAGCAGACAGTGCTTTAATGAGGGATTTAAATCACTGCATAATAGAGTTTTATGTAAAATGTTACAAATTTGAGGTGATTCTGAGCCAAGAGGTAAACAAAATTGCCTAGTTAGGATTGCAACAGCATATCACACCGTACTCTGATATCTGAGCTACAGATGACCTTTTCTATGGCATATGACAACGCATTAAGGAATCTTCTGTATTCTGAAACTTCGTGTTCTTCATAGTTTTTTCAAAAATAATTGACAGTGTCTCAGAAAGCTTGCTTAATTCCCTTGGGATCTGTATCATTACAACATACTTATTTGTATATATTTAATGCTTCCAGGTTTTGCCTTACTGGCTTTTTGTCAATACCTATGCGGACAAGTTCAATCAGAAGACCCATCTGGAAAAGTAAGGATCCTTCAGAAAAATTGGTTTGGAATGCCAGCTGCATTTTAAACTTATGGGGGAAGTCAGGCTTTCCTTGTGACTGTAACTAAACGTGATGCTTGTGAAACCTAGAGACTGAAGTATCTTTATGCAGAGAACAGGCAAAGTATGAACAGTAGCTATGAGCTACCACACCATGTGCCTTATGCCTGTCAGTGTGAGTGGGAAGTGCAGTCTTTTGGGCAGATCCTCAGCTGATGGAAGTTGTCATGACTTTTTTGACATCTCTCGTGACTTCAGTGGAGCGATGGCAATTTACACCATCTGAGCCCCTCCCGGTCCATTCAAAGCTTGGCTTCTCTGATGAGGCAGACAGCAAGGTGCCGCGGGGCGGGGAGGAGATGGAAAAGCAATCCTGGCAATTACTTTCTATGGCTGGTAAAATAATGGTAACAGGGAATGTTCCAGTTAAGAGGGGTAACAGCAGTGTGGATGATCAACAGCATGGATTTAATAAAGAACAAATCATTCCAGAGAGAGAATTTTTTTAACCCAATTATAAAATGTGCCCTTGATTCTGCAGTGGCATCCACTAGTATGAACCCCTGTGCCCATATGGAGTCCCATTGACATCAGTCAGACTCCACAATGTCACAGGGGGCTGTGTGAGCAGATCCTGATGTAGGATTGGTGTCTGAGTGGGAAAGAGAGAAAAACAGCAGGTCCGGTATGTCTGGTTTTCAGTAAAGCAGTTGACAGAGTCTTGTGAAACCTTTCTTGAAATTAATTCAACTTGGCTTGGATTTGAGTATTTGCGCATGGACTGAAAGCTGGACTGAGTACTGTAAACAAAGCAAAACAAAATGAGAAACAGCAACGTATCACACTGTGAGGGGCTGGTCAGTGGAGCAAGCAAAGGATCGGTGTTAGGCCAAGTTTTATTTCACATTTTTATTAATGTCTAGAAGAAGAGGGTAAGCAGCACACTAGAGGCCCAGTCCTGCTGCCACCACTCTGGGAGTGGATTTCCCACTGACTTCAATAGGAGATCCATGTGCATAACAGCAGCAGGACAAGGCCCTAAACTTGCAGATAATACTAAACTGGGAGGATCTGCAAGCACCAGAGAGGAGAGGACACAAGTAGTGTAAAGGGACTAGGAGGGAGTCAAAATATGGCTACAAAATTATACACATCCAGGAAAATGCAAGCTTTGGAAGGGAGTGGGATGAAGGGTAGAGCAACTTGCAAAGCAGCAATGCTGAGAAAGACATGAGGATGAGTAGACAGCAAATTGGATATGGGCTTTTAACGCAGTATATTGGCAAAACAACCTAACATGCTTGATTCTCCAGCATCCTCCAGCCACATTAGTGATGGATGGCACGCTGGTGGTGCAAAGCAGACACAGTCCTGTTTTTAATGGGCCTAGAATTATTTTCCCCATATAGAATCTCAGTCTTGCAGGTATAGCAGTTCCTACGACAAAGCCCTGCCATGGCCCCCTCTGAAGGGGGCCTGGCCAGGGAAAAGGAGATATGGCCAAGGCATCATTCCACCTTACCAGTCCTTGACTGTTGTTCTCAGTCAGGATAAGATAGAACAACCTTGGCATTGAGCTAGCACCCACTGGCCACAGGGTCAGGGAACCGCAAAGTTGACATAAAGCCGTCTTTGCATCTCTCCAGGCTTGCCCTAAGCACAGCTCAGCCAGCCCAGAAAATTGGAGCTAACGTATTTTGGAGCTGGGTGACTAAACACGTCCTATTCTCTCTCTCTCTCTCTCTCTCTCTCTCTCTCACACACACACATCAAGGAACTGATAGTGTCTCTCGGCATAGCACTGGTAAGCCCACATCTGGAATTCTGCCTTCAATAAAAGATAGATTGAAAGAATAGCAACAAAAATGATGAAGGGACCAGAAGATGAAGATTAACCTGTGAAGAAAGGTTACAAGAGCTAAATCTGTGTAGTTTAGCTAAAGGATGATGGCCAAAGGAGATATAAGTCTTCAAGCAACGGATGTGTGTAAAGAGCAAGCAGAGAGAGAGGAATTGCCGAAGCTGAGTAAGTATCTGGAAATATTTGTTTCCCAACAAGGGGGTAGATTAGAGAGTGGCACAGTCTCTTACGGGAAGCCCCATCATGTGAGTGATTGGAAACTAGACTGGACAAAGTACTGGATGATATCCTAGAGGGAATAACTCTTCATCAACAAGGATAGGGGAATGAACAAGATGAATTCATGGGTCCTTCCCATCTCCGTGAATCTATTTAAAGCACTCACTTTTCTCTGTGCTTGAAAATAGACATGTTTTAATCAAAAAGGGGCTGATTATGGTGAGGTGAAAGCTCTGGGGCCTCATCTGGCAGAGTTCCCCTTGAGATTCCCAGAAGCAGAAAAAGAGAGCAGCCATTGTACGTTCTCTATGGAGTGTGGCATGCACTTCCCCTGGGCAGGGCCATGGTTCCCCTCCTCAACCATTCTGAAGCTAACAGCTATCTCTGTGCTAATCTCTACACGCTCTGTACTTGGTGTATTTGTGGTCAGCTCCTGCAGCTGTGAGCTAGTGGCTTGAGCACTTGGCTGAGACTCAGGAGACCTGGGTTCTATTCCCTGCTGTGCCACCGATCTGGTCAGAAACCTAAGGCAAGTCACTTTCCCCATCTGTACGACAGGGATAGTGACCTCCTTTGTAAAGCACTTTGACATGTATGAATTAAGAGTGAGGTATTACTTGCCTCTTTTCCCCTTGGGCACCTGTGCAGGGCTAGGCACCATACAGTCCCAAATCTCAGAAAACTCATCATTTACTGCAGGAGAAAAACTGGGGATTACATGGCAATCAATGAAACTAAGGAAACAATAAGGTAAACCTCACTGATATGAGCAGTAGGGGGGGAAGGCATCTTTCTATCAATGAGATCACTAATCCATTTATTATTATGATTTAGCTCTCAGCTAGCACTTTTCACATATGGATAACCAGGTACATTACCAAGGTGGATGTGTTCTGATTTTACAGAGGAGGAAATAGAGACAGATAGGTTAAGGTCACACTCTGAGCCAACGATCTTGTTCCTAATGCTGTGTTCTGACCACTAGATCACATTGCCTCTCTACAATTATATTCCAGGGGAAACATGAATGCACTCCCCCACCCCACTGCTTCACCAACCTTCACAAACTATGCATTTAAGGAAACTGCAGGAGTCAGCATATCTGGATTGCAATGGATGAGCCTCATCCTAGGAAAACCACCTTCATGATCATGGTATCTCCCCTGCCAGCTAATTACATAATTATGTAGTTATTAATTATTTAAGGATCTTAATTCTTTGAAAAGGTGCCTTCAATTATTAATGGGCAGGCTCTGGCTGGAATGACTGCCTCCAGACAGCCTCACTGGTACAGTATACACATCAGTCATTCTGAAAAAAGCCACTGAATTTTCAGGCCATTGTTTAGTTAACCATTAACAATTCATAAAATTTCAGCTCCCTGCACAAAAAGCAGCATTCTCTGAATGGTATTAGAAAATCCTATTTCTAGTCTGTTATGAAACAGAGGGTTTGATGTGCTGCCAGTTTTTATGTGGAACTTTGGAAACAGAACACTTCCTGCACTGTGAGTCTTAGACTGAGTGGCTGTTACATAAAGCTTTCCTACCAACTCAAGTTTATCATCCCATACATTTTGTGTGTGTGTGTGTGTGTGTGTGTGTGTGTGTGTGTGAGAGAGAGAGAGAGAGAGGAAAAATCGAATAATCAAATGCAAAATAATAAAAAAAATTAAAAATGGATCATTCAGCTCTTCCTCTTTGTCCAGTACTGACAAATATTCAGTGATATTTATCAACTCAGAAACTGAAGGCAAACAAAGGAAAAATCCAATATGCTAAGTTGTATAAGTACTGTATATAGGGGAGATATACATGGCTGCAGAAAGCTGTGTATATAGAGATGGGTAGATTTTTTTTTTTTTTTTGGCCACTGACTAAGCTTTCATTTAAAGCACAGAAATCCCCTTCGGGCCTCTCACACTGTCTCTTGTGCTGCAGTGATAAAAAGGAAGTAAACATCACATCATCAGATATGTGCCAAGTGAAACAAACATGGGATGGAAAAACAGCATATTTGAAGAAGAGGGATACAAACCTTATATTCAAGATATTGGATCCAAACATATATAGATCATTATCCAGTTGTTTTGCTGTGGGAGGGGATGCAGAACTCCAGTGGTTTATTGGTATAATTCTTTGAAGGTGAAGGAGCCATAAAGTGATCTCAATACTAAGGAGTGAAGCAGCACCATGTAATATAGTTAAACAATAATGCAAACCACAGAAGAATCCATGGAAGAAGAGGGAAATGAATTCACCTAGAAAAGACTGAATATTTAAGTCCAGCAAAGAAAGATGTTTGGAGTTTGTGGGGGAAGGTGGAGAATCCTCTGGTTTCCTCTGCATTGATCTCCCATGCCCTGCAGTGTATAAAAGCCTCCTAAATAAAACTACTTTATTAACAGACTACTGCAGGACTAGAGTAAAGATGCACTCCAAGCTCTGGATCCAAACCTCGGTTGAGATGTTCAGATCTGCTGTTCCAGTTCAGATCCATCTTTAGATTCAGAAATAGGGCATTGACTCCTAAATCCCATAATACAAGAAAGGGAATCAGCCAGGCAGGAGTGTTTAAACTGTCAGACAACTCATAATTTGACAGTGATCCCTTTTTAAAGTGGGGGAAGATGCAGGCTTTGAGTGATTCAGATTGATCACCTTCTAATCTGCATTTTAGGTTTTGAGTTTTCATTATTACAGAAGTGATTCCAAGAAAACAAACTCTCTTATTTACATATAAAACAATTAAGTGCTGTCTGACTTTTCTGCACTCAGGAGCCAGCCACATGTTCTGCTGCAGGGTATTGTAAGGGACAGGAAAATCTGGGAAAATGCACCAAATAGTTTTGTTTTTCCTATGTATTTGCGGTGTAATTAAGCTGCATACAAAATGAAAAGAAGATTGGGTAAAGGGGAGGCTATACAGTGCATAGACGTGTGGGCCTGATCCACAGCCCACTGAAGTTAATGTGCAATGATTGCAATGGGGTTTGAACCAGGCCCCCTATGCATGGTAACCAACATAGAATAAATTGCAGCAATGGACATAGTACGGTAGTTTAAAATGAAGCTAGAGCAACATTTTTAAGATAGGGTCTTTTTCTTGCTGCAGGCAGGTAATGGAACTAGCCTCCAGACATGTAAACTCTCAGCAGCCAGCATGATCATCATGAGCCAATTTCTATTGAAATTAGATCAATACTATTTTTTTCCCTTCCCCTCACTGGCTCCTAAGTGATTCATGAATCTGAAAACTAGTTCATGAATCTGAAAGGAAGGGGGGAGAGGAGGAGGCGGAATATCTGCAGTCAGCAAACCTTGACTCTGTTTCATGAATCCAGGCATTAGTTACATAATGTTCTGCTGACTGCTAGTTGAAACCAGTATTTAGGTTGCCGTTTAAAACTTTTACTTATTCAATTCCACCCTTCCTCTGCCCCCCAGTCCCCCGCCAAACTGGGTAGAGCCACGTTCTTTTGTACAGACACACAGCAAAAATCAGAGCCATGTTACACAGCAACTATTTGAGTGTATGTGCATGTGACACACACCTTAGCCACACTTTGTGTGTGTGTGTGTGTATAGAGAGACAGACAAGAATCAGTGCTGCACCAGATAACGTAGCTCTGATTTCTGACACACCCATGAGCGCTATGTAGGAATTATCTGAGAGTGTGTGTGCTTGTGACAAGGTGGAGAGCCACGCTGGGTAATGTGTGTATATGGAAAGACAGACAAGAATCAGCACCACATTACCTAGCACTCGTATGTGTACTTGTATGTGACAAGAATAGTTTAACCGGTTATGGGCCCTTTAAATCTGTACTGGAGCCAAGTCTCTTTCTCTGTGGAGTTTCATAAGGAAGCACATGATGAGAGCAGTTGGAAACCACATCTCTGCGAGTGCTGATTACAGCCGACTGAGGAAAATGAGATTTTTATCTTGCAGGAATTCAATTATCAAAAAAATAAAATACAGCCCGTCTGCCTTTATTCGGCTAAACTCACTGCACGGCGGTGTTTTTAATTTAACGAAAAGCAGCACAAGAATTACTTAAAACATTGTGTTTTTTGTAAAGGGGAGAAGAAAAAAAAAAGCCAAAGTCACCCTGCTGGCAAGTGAATGCAGCAGGGATGATGTCATTGGAACAGTTGGAGGAGAAAAGAGAAAAACAAGTCTGTGTGTGCTAATCCTGTTTGCTGCCCTAAAGGGAATGGAAGGCAGCCAAGACAAGGAGTTCTGGGAAACCATATAAGGGTGCCAAACAAGCTCTGCCGCCAACATTAGGAACTGACATCTTTGTTCTTTGTAACTTGGAAGGCTGCCAAAGGCCTCATTTCAGCTCTGCGGCATGATTACACTGGACATCTGCCAGCTGAGCTCTGTGAGCTCCTTTTCTTCTCTTGGAGCTTTTTGCCAAACATGCAGCAGTTGCCATGGCAGTGGAAAGCAAAGTTAAAATATATATATATACACACACACATATATATATATATAATATAAAAAACAACAACAAAGCAGAAGCACGCCTTTATCCAGCTGTGCCACATGTGCAGATATAAAAAGCAAGCTAACCTATTAATCAAGGGTTTTTCACCAGGACGGAGTGATAGCCATGAAAGCAGAAAGGTGACACGAGGATAAAACAATAAGCACACACAAAATGGCCTGGCTGTACAGAGATGGGTCTATAGGATGTTTTCCTCCTCTGTGTCTATCTGAAGTCAGAGGACACCAAATTCAAAGTTGACAATGCTGGGATTTTCACTGTTTTTAAAAAGGCTTTAAAACGTGAAAGAGGTTTATTTATAAACTCTGCTCAGGGACGGAAAACTAAACAACTGAAATTCAGTCGGCTTGCTAGGAGGAAGGGCTTTGTGTCAGCAAAGGTGCAGGCCAAACTATACTATTTCAGATTTTGCTCTATACAACTAACAAACAATCATCCAGGATTCTTGTGTTTATAACAAAGGTTTTATTTAAATAGGCAAGCATTGATGGGCAGATTTCTGCACACAATAGAAGAGGTGTGGTCCAAGCTTGCTTTCTTTTTCCACCCAGAGAGGCATACAGTAGTTTCAGTTTACAAAGAGGCTATATATAAAAAGTTCACCGCCCAGTGATTTAGATTTCACTCTACTATTTTTAATCAGCTTCATTTTTCACCCTGTTAGAAAGCGGAATATCTCCTGGCGGTGGCAAGTAAGTAGCTATGAAAACCAGCAGCAGATATAGCTGGCATGTTTCTGAAGTCAAGGTTGGAGAGAAGCAGGGATAGGGTTTCCAGCTCCTGTCCCCTCTCTCCCTTCATCTGATGCTTCATCTCTCCCAGGAGCTCAGTGATATCCTCAGAGCATCCTCCCCTGAAATTCACTGTGCTGCCTGCCCTGAGAATTAGCATTTTTTACAGAACCATAAGTGTAAGCAACTCACGACTGAGTCTGTAACAGGCAAAGGTCCCTTAGGAACAAAGGAATGACCATAGCAAATCAAACCAGTGCATCCAGCTAGTCCAGTATCCTGTCTGGGGGCCAGTACCAGATGATGCCAAGGAAGGTGCAAAACACCCAGAACAGTGAAGCGAACAAATTAGATAAATAATTTTTGAACCAGTGGAGGCCTCATCCCTAACACAATCATATCAGAGCTGGTTCTAAATAGAGGACAGAAAATGAATTACCTGGAAAACAAGTGAAGGGAGGAAAGCTGTTAAGGCACCAGGCTAAGAATCAGGAGCTCTAGGTTCTATCCCTGGCTATGCTGCAGATTTTATGCGTCTCCATAAGTCACTTAACCTCTTTGTGCTTCAGTTTCCCTAGCTGCTCAGACCTAGGGTCCCAAGTGGGTTCATACAACCTGTGGTGCTGCAGCTTCATTGCTATTTTTATTCAAGCTAACTCAAAGCTAGTTCAGGTATGTCTAAACGTGCTGCAGTCCCACCTCTGACTGCAGTGTAGACATGTCCTCAGGCCTGTGCTCTAAGTGCTAGACCCCCATTGAATTCAATGGAATTTACTTGCTTGAATTCACGAGCAGAACATAGACCAATGATAGCTGACTGTGGATAACAAACATGATAATCTAAGGAAAACTGATGTGTTTCTATAAATTATAGCAGACAAACAGCTTTGTTTTAGTTTAAGGAGCTGGGTGGTTGTTTCCCCCCCCCTTCCCC